GGTTCACGAGAAGGAAAAAGGACTATTTTTTTACATTTGGCATGATATGAAAAATAAAGAGCTTTGTTTATCGATGAACAACAGCTTGACAAAGCTCTTGGCATCGCTTTGCTTTTCTCTCCTTTCCTATCAGCGAGTTCCAATCCTTTTGTTCAAAATTTCTTCGTTCGTACCGAACTACTTGCAAAATCAAATCCTATATTAGCTATACATCCTCCTTGCATTTTATGCCGAGACGTTGCCAATGCTATGGGCTTTGGGCTATGTAGATAAAAAATGATGAATGGGATTGTGGCACCCCACTGGCCACTGTCGACAAAATATGGTCGACAGTTCATCGAGGGGGGTGCCCGTGGTGGTAGATTATCGGTAGGATGCGTGTAATCATGAACCAGATGGTTACAGAGACACAAGGCACAAGATTTATACAGGTTCAGGCCGCCAATGTGGCGTAAAACCCTACGACATGTGCTCTGTTATTTGTATTGATCTGGGGTGAGATCTGTTATGATCTGTATGATCTGTCCTCTAGGGGACCCCTGCCCCTCCTTATATACTGTGAAGGGACAAGGTTACAAGTAAAGTATCCAATTTGATACAATTACAATATAACGTCATGCTCCACACGTCTTCATCTTGCGAGTTGGGCCACTTCTGGTGGTGCGGCCCATGTATACCCATGAGGGTATAGGGGGTCTATTCCCCCACAGCTAGTCCCCGAGCGCCTTGTATCCTTCGAGTAGCGTCGTCTTGAGCTTGCTAGAAGGATGTAAGGGGCTCAAGATAAAATTTGAAAAATATTTCCCTCGAAGTGTGCCCACTTTGACTCTGAGTCAAAAAGAGACAACGTCGTCCTTGTAGAATCGGAGGTGTTTGAACCATCAGAGCGAGCACATTCACCGTAAGGTGAAGTGTGCCCACTTAGTCCCCGAGCCTGGTAGTAGGTGACGTAGGCACGTGGTGCCAGGGTCTAAAAAGAATTTCCAGTTAAGTTGAGAATCCAATCGTCGTACATGCGATACAAGATGCACCGGCAGGTGCATCGTATCGATGTAGTCCCCGAGCTTGCTAGAAGGCTAGGTATGAGCATTGTAGCAAGGTCTAAACGAGAAAGAATATCCCAACTATATGCGAGTCGCCAGTCGCATGTAGTTTAGACGCAAAGTCCCTGAGCTGTGGTCGGAGAGTGGTCGAGGCAGCCCCGAGCACAGATCGAGGGGCGAGCGGCGAAGTCCCCGAGCCGTGGTCGGAGAATTGTTGAGGCAGTCCCCGAGCACAGGTTGGGGGGCTAGCGGCGAAGTCCCCGAGCTATGGTCGAAGAGTCGTCGAGGTAGTCTCCGAGCACAGGTTGAGGGGCGAGCGGTGAAGTCCCCGAGCCATGGTCGGAGAGTCATCGAGGCAGTCCCCGAGCACAGGTTGAGGGGCGAGCAGCAAAGTCCCCGAGCTATGGTCGGAGAGTCGTCGAGGCAGTCCCCGAGCATAGGTTGAGGTCGAGGAGCGAGCGACGAAGTCCCCGTGCGTAGCTCGAAATTCCTGCAATATAAATATGTAGAATGGTAATATATGATGTACAAAGTAATAAATTATGGAGAAAAAATCAGCAGTGAAGAAATAACGTATGACGCTCAGCAGTCATTTACAAATGAGCATGATGTGATAAAAGCAGTTTGTTGCTTTGTAAACATCAGTGTTAATGTGAAGTTTGTGTTTATACTTAATATAAATTGTCCGACCAGTTAGTGTGTAGCTGAGTCTCCAGCCCTAACTAGCCCATAGTCCACAACGTCGAGCGCGGAGCCCATGCACATGTAGGAGGAACAGGCGTCGCTAAGGAGCCGCTGCCGACCACCCATAACGCAGAGGGCAGACGCTCGTGCACGTGTAGGGAGGAGCCAGAGACAGGGCCGTCTCTGGAGGCATCGAGCGTCAACATGACTGGTCGAGGATTTGCATTAAGTATAGCTGTATGTTATCTTTAAAATGGTATACATGGACAAGCGTTATTTGAAGAATAATCATGACGAGGACGTTGTGGACAAACGTCATAATGAAAATTGTGTCAAATATAAATATTAGAAGTGTACTTATCTTTGGATAAAAATCTGGTCGGTGGCGATGAAGTTGTCCGGCCCTCGAGCTTTCCGACCTGTCGTCATGACGGTGGTCGCGCTTGTCGTAGAGCCGCTCTTCGCGGCGATCATCATTGCGACGTGGTCTGGTGATCGATGTGGTCGGAGCTCGGCAGAGCCGCTTGGGACGTGGTCCATGGTCGACGTGGTCGGAGCTCGGCGGAGCCGTTTGGCATGGCTCGCTAGTCGGCTCGCTTGATAGCTCGGTATGTGGCATGCAGATCTGCTTCATACGTGTATAGGATGCACACGTACTCCTCCGCTTGGAATGATGAAATCTTCATGCATGCATGCGTAGTATGCAGCAACCAATCAATGCATTAAATATCTTTGATTAATTATTGCTGGTCTGCACGTATTCGAGTAGATGGAGGGTCTTGCTTGCCCGACATGTAACTTGCTATTGGCTTGTATGTCTACGTGGCCTCCTTGGTAACTTGTAGCACAAATATGATCGTGATGATGGATCGCCAATCAGCTCGCTTTGTGCTCGAGTCGTCGGGCTTCGTAGGTGATAATTCGTCTCGTTTGGAGTAGTCGTGGAGGTGTGAAGCGGTGAAGACGTGACAAGCAGCAAGATCGCCAACAACGCCAAGCCTGTACGTGATACATACCAAGTCAATCTTGGTTTGGCTTGCCTTGCATGTAGATCGCACGTCATCTTGGATGGTGCTGTAGTAGTAGATCGGCTCATGGCCTAGGTGCAGGTCGATGATGAGGAGCATGGTGGTGCTGCCGGGACGCATGGTGCATGCTGTCGCTGTAGCCGACCACGTTACGACGAGTCGCTGTAGATACTGTAGTTCAAGGACGCCCGCCACAAAAAGCCGAGTTGCCGCGGAGGACGTTGATGAAGAGAATCGCCATCTGATTCGCCGGAAGATCAGCACGCACAACCCCTAAAAGGGGCCCCTACCTGGCGCGCCACTATCGACGAAATATGGTTGGTAGTCCATCGAGGGGGTGCCCGTGGTGGTAGATTATCGGTAGGATGCGTGTAATCAGGAACCATATGGTTACAGAGACACAAGGCATAAAATTTATACAGGTTCAGGCCGCCAGTGTGGCGTAAAACCCTACGTCCTGTGCTCTGTTATTTGTATTGATCTAGGGTGAGATCTGTTATGATCTGTATGATCTGTCCTCTAGGGGACCCCTGCCCCTCCTTATATACTGTGAAGGGACAAGGTTACAAGTAAAATATCCAATTTGGTACAATTACAATATAGCGTCATGCTCCACACGTCTTCATCTTGCGGGTTGGGGCACTTCCGGTGGTGCGGTCCATGTATACCCATGAGGGTATAGGGGGTCTATTCCCCCACAACCACCAATGCGGAAGGATGCCGCCGAAAAGAATGGAGCGTTGCTGGATGCATCGGATCCCGTATAAGAAGCTCGTTGTTTACCCGATCATTCAAACATTTTTGTCGGTGGCGTGCCTGCTCTATTGTTGCGGCCTTCTCTTTTTCCTTGTTTATTTTCTCTATTATGTAGGTTTCTTTAATATTCTATGAGATGTTTTATGACATATTTTGGTCTACAACATTATTCTTGTGAGTATGGAATGTTTTTTACTTGAACTTAAATGGCCTTATCCATTTAATAATAAAAATATTTCATATCTGATACACAAAGATCAACATGTTATAGTGGTGGGAAATGACATCCTTTATCCTAAGCCCATAGGTTTTGGGCCTGCTCGGAAACCGTTGCTGCAGCTGCCTCTCACAGGCTACTGTGTAAACAGCAGCAACAGGTACAACAGTAGCTGCAGCTAACAGACCTGGGGCTTATTTAGTTTGTGGTTAGAAATCAGTATTCGGTACTGTAGCACTTTCGTTTGTATTTGACAATTATTGTTCAATCATGATCTAACTAGACTCAAAAAATTCGTCTCGTAATTTACAATTAAACTGTGTAATTAGTTATTTTTTTTATCTACATTTAATACTCCATGTATGTGTTCAAAGATTTGATGTGATAGAGAGAGAGTGAAAAAACTTAAATCTAAATAAGACCCTGCTTATTCTCGTTTATTTCCGTACCATTCTCATCGTTCTGAGAAAGCGGAGCTGAGCACGTTCTCGCATATTTCTTTATCATTCTCATTTATTTCCGTACCATTCTCATCGTTTTTTAGAAAGCGGAGCGGGACGCTTAGAGCGCGTTCGCTCGCAGAAGCACGGAAAAGCGCAGCCCAAGTGGGCTCAGAAGCGAAGCTAAGCGCGGTCCAAGTGGGCCCAGAAGCAGAGCTGAGCGCGTTCGCTCGCCGAAGCACGGGAAAGCTCAGAAGCGCGGCCCAAGCGGGCCTAGGACGCGCACGCTCGGCGCTCGCACAACCCAGACCTTAAGCAGTTAAGCGTCCCCTTCCCCTCTATTAGCGGCACGAAGTCCGCCGCCGCCGCCCTACGCCAGATGCCCAGGTCTTCGTCGGCCCCTTCTCCGGCAACGAGCACCTAACAGGTACGCCCCTTCTCGTCATTTTCTGCTGTGCGAAACCGAGCAGAACCTAAGCTATTTGGAATCGGACCTGATCTAATTGCAACTTGAATTATTTACTGGGTTCGTCCCTGGTCTGTGCCCGCTGAACTCTATTCCCATTCCAAAGTCACTCCACCTGCAATTTTTATTTTTAGATCTGTGTGATATTGTCTAATTGCTTTGATGGAATGCATCGGCTGCTGGAGTGATAATTAACAGGACTGTGAAAAGAGTAAAATAATTTTTTATCTCAAAGTTTACGTTAAAAAAAAGATTTAATCTCAAAGGAAAATGCACTGTTGTGATGTTCATATATTGTTTCTTAGACGGAAAAAAAAAGTCATTGATACGCATACACCGTCAGGGGGTGCAGTATATTCTGTGAGAATGGCCTGGGGTCAAGGTGCTAAGAGGTCCATACTAGGGCTTCTCTTTCGTGCTCAGCAGCAAACCGCTCGGGCATACTCTTCTTCAGCATTCCAGACTCATCAATTGAGCACTCATGTTCCCCAAGATGGCGTGTTTCTTAGGAGATTCAGCTCTGAGGTGTCTTCTTCAGAGCAAATGAACCTTATTAAGCAACTCAGGCAAAGAACGAGTGCTCCAATCAAAGATGTCAAGGCCTCCCTAGTTGCCTGCAACTGGGATATTGGTTAGCTCTTCTAGCTCCATGCCGTGTCATGATTTAGTTCACTTTTCCTATTTGAGTTTGTTAATTTCTTTCAGAGGCTGCGCAGAAGGACCTAAGGAAGAGAGGTGTTGCTCTTGCTGCCAAAAAGTCTTCACGCACTGCTGCTGAAGGTTTGCTAGCTATCGCACAAGATGACAAAAGGGCTGCTGTAGTTGAGCTTAACTGTGAAACTGATTTCGTAGCAAGAAATGATGTTTTCCAGTACCTGGTTGGTTTCATTTCCCAGTAACAATTTTATCTTAATTATCGGCAGCTGAGCTGTTTTGTTGATCTCTTCTTAAACCTTTCACACATAAAATGCAAGTTACATATGGAACGACATTAACAATTTAGATGCAAGGGTTTTTAGATTCATTTCTTCAAGATGATTACATAGTAATTGGATACTTACATTTGTTAGTAGCATGGTCTTTGTGGTATTGGTGTGTGTGTTTGTAAGGGCTCTTCCTCTTTTTTCTTCTTATAATATTAATGATACGCATCTCTCTTGTGTGTTCGAGAAAAAAAAAAAGCACCACTAAATCATTTGTTCATCACTTGAAAAGTAAATGCCGATATCTCTTTTAGTGGTTGTGAAATACAAAGGTAGCTGGTACATTTACGTGCCAGGAACTATATGCATATTTGCAGGTGTAGGCATATCATGTAAACAATGTTAGTCATGCATGTAAAGGAAATTTTCCACTCATCTGTTGATCAAGTTGCAGATATATCAACTTCAGTTCTGTAGCAATTGCATGCTTCGAGTTATTTATACAGATCTGTGGCTTTATTTTAAATATTTTTCTATTTTGTCACCATGCAGGCTTCATCATTGGCAAAGATGGCTTTATCTGCTCAGGGTCCCGGTGAATTGTTCATGCCTTTTGGTCCTGAACTTTTAGAGGTATGCCATTATCCCTATGTGGCGTATTCCCAGATTCATGATTCATGATTTTATACACAAATATAATGCTGCTTTATATCATGTATTGTCCCTCTTTTCAGTCATTTCTAAGAAACCATACATTTCTCCAACCTTGCAGAACATGTCTATCAATCTTGATCATCCGATGCTCAGCGGGGAAACAACTGTCCAAAGTGCTGTTACAGAAGTTGCTGCAATGGTTGGGGAGAATGTGAAACTCAGAAGAGGTTTCATGCTGTCCACAACTGCACATGGTGTTGTTTCATCGTATATGCATACCTGTCCCCAGCCAGGTGATGGAATCTCAGTTTAATTTTTTTTTCAAGAATGTGTATTCTTTATTCTTCAGATTTTACTTTATCCCCCCTCCCCCCAGACTAAATTAGATTAACCATTAATATTACTAAGCAGTTTCCTACTGACTAGGGGGCATGCTTACCTGCTTCTCACCTTTTCTAATCTCTTCACCATTCTAGATTTTTTAACTAGAAACCACAGTATGTTTGTGTGTATTCACGCTAATTCTAGTAAATAATCTAATTCTTAGGTTTGTCACTGATGAATTTAAATTATTTTCCTGTTTTACACTTTTACTGATATACGGATGCAATTTCTTTGATTTTGATGATAATGTAGCCATGGATGTACACTCATGATAAATTGGAATTTGAGCACAACTATTGTCTTAAATGTTCCATTAACACTAAGGAGGAAAAATGAAATTTCATCTGAGTGGATAATGCTTGTTTGGGTGCTCCTGAAGTACAATAATTGAGCATGTTAGTTTGGTCCTAATTGTTGTTTGTTCTGCTGAGCTGACTTGTGTTAGTAATTTGAAAACTCTCCTAGTTTGCAGGCTCTTTTTGGCTGTTTTGATACTTTGCTAAAAATAAAGGCCCCTTTTTCTTCTTTCTTTTTCCAACAGGAATGATGCATTTGCTCATTCTGTAATTCACTTAACTCCTGAGCATTTTTTTTGTTGCTTCAGGTATGGGTCGTATCGCTGGATTGGTCACACTAGAAGCAGAAGATAGCAGTACTCTCCTTGATGCTGTCAAAAGTGTTGGGTCATCTATTGCGATGCAGATTGTTGCAACAAAGCCATTATTCTTATCAAAAGAACTGGTTTCTGCTTCTGCTTTAGAAAATGAGCGTGAAATATTTCGAACACAGGTTGATACAACACTTCCTCCAACATGTTTGGTTCATAACAGGACTTATGCCACACTCAAGATAGGCATATTTGACTTTTCTTAGGCAGTGTTTAGTTTACTTCCATGACTATGTCATGCCACACTTTATTAGCGCTGCGTCACATACTCATGCATGTGATATGGTCAGACCTTCATGTGGTCACTTTGTTTGTGTCGAGTTGCTTCAGAAATGAGATGACATGACACCATGTACCATTGTAGGCCGAAAGCTCAGGGAAATCCCAAATGGCTATGGAAAAAATGGTGGAAGGCCGATTGAGGAAGTACTTTGAAGAAGTTGTGCTCATGGAGCAAAAATATGTTTTAAATGACAACACAAACGTTAAGGTAAGTCAATAGGGTTTTGTATTTCTTGATTATGTTACTGCTCTGGATTGTTTGTCTCTGATAGCTTTAGGTCCTGGTGTCATTCTTTTCAGACCGTGCTGAATGACTTGTCGAAAGAGGTTGGTTCTAAAGTAATAATCGGTAACTTCATCAGAATGGAGGTTGGAGAAGGGATTGAGAGGTACAGTATATTTGTCCTATCCCATGTCATCTCTATCGACAAGTGGGTTTTTGTTTGCGATGTGTAAAGTGGCAGACTGGCAGTTGATGACCACATGTTTCTTGCTTGGCAGCTGATGGTTCAGAGGTTGCTGCTGGCGCTACGTAGATTTCAGGCAGAGATGGATCAAACGGCATCAATAGGATCTATATGAAGGTCCCTCTTCTCTAAAGTTGGGGGCCGTAGTTTTTTCCAATAAAAGTTTTGGGCTGTCATCTTTGCTCCATTGGATTGTTACAGGTGTAGGCTAGGACGGAGCTAATGTTTAGGCAAGCAAGGTAGTTAGCGTTCTGGGACTTGCGAGGCTGCCTAGTTGATTTGCCGATTCCTAGCTTGTTTGTTTACACTTTTGGTTGAACCCTCTCTGACAGTTTGTTTGGACGAGTAAAAGATCGGAATAGAGTGGGAATTACCCCTTGAACTATTTGCTTTGAGTCTGGAGAACACTCCGGATTTTCAGAGTCTAGTTTTGGTCGTTAATTAGAGGATGCGAAGTGTGACCCGAGGTGTTCTTTTCGGTTGATGGGTGATTATAGGTTTGGCTGTTCGCATAGTTGTAATTTGAGGCGATTTTGTTGGCACTTAGCAGGAGTCAAAGAGACATCAGCTACATACCAAACGCGCGAAGTAGTGCGAACATGGGTTGGTCGATCAAGGCTGCACATCTCGTCACGCCACTTGGGGATGTCGGTGAGCGACACGATGCCCGCGAGGACTGATGCATGAATAAGCCCTAAACGACGGGCCTGTTCGGCTGTTATTAAAGTCGGTTGAAGCTATTTTATTGTGAGAGAAAAATATAGTTATAGCTGATAAGCCACCAGATAAGTTCAAGCGAACAGGCCGAGGTAACTATTGAAGTGCTCGTGGATCTAGAATTTTATTTAAGGAAAATTAAGGACATACCGCACAAAAAGTTCTATATCTAATATCAATTCGATTAACGGTTGCAAAAGTTGCAACATAATTCTGTATACATGCACAAAATTACATGATGTAAGCCTTAAATTTGTAAATTAAGTTGAAAATTTTCACGAATTACAATAATATAAATAGTTCAAACACCATAATAATAATATAATTCAAAATAGACATAAAGGAGAGCAAAAGACTTTTAGCACGTAAGATTTTTAGAAAAGAAAGAAAATCATAAAGAAACAACTAAATGTGGCAAACCTGGGCGATGTCTTCTCTTAAGTTTCTCTGCGTACAGCGGTGGCGGCAGTTGTCCAGGTCCCTGCTGCGGTGCTGCCGCCTAGCTTCTCTTTGAGGACCAAAACGCCAACAGCAGCAGTTGGCCAGACAACCAGAACGCCGGCAGCAGCAGTTGGTCGGGTGTCATCGCCGGGTTCTTTTTCAGAACCAAAACAACAGAACCGTAGTCTAGCTTCTCTTTCAGGATCAGTCACGGCACTTAAGCAATTGCTGGATTAGGATTGCAGATGGATACACTAAGCGCAGGCGCGGCACTAGGATGGATCGGCGGATCGCAAGCTCGCAGGATCTGAGACGAAACGGCGCGGCGGCGGTGCTTCAGATCGCAACTTAGGCGAAGCATCGTGATGGACAGATGTATTGTCCTACTACTGGCTGGGCTGGCATACCCAGTAGATCTGCCCTTAGCTCAAAGTTTCTCTCTCTAACATTGGTACTAGCCCTATGAAAATGTCTAAGAACCGAGCAATGTCAAGTTTGTCTTCCGCAGGAGAGGTTCGAATCAACGTGGTGATTCTTTGAACTATCTATATAACCCGTGTGACGGTTAGCACTGTGTTTCGGTAACACGCTCATAGAAAGAGAGGTGAGAAGAACAGAGCACGTAACTCAAGAGAGACGAAGAAGCAGCTCGAATGTCGATGGTCAGCGACCCTTGGAAATCAAAGATCATGCCAACCAATTCTGTTGCGGCAGTGTACGGTGCCACACTCCTATTGTTCCTCCTTTGCGTTGCTGCACTCTGCTGACCGTGTGCGAAGGAAGTGATGAGGAGGCTCACCGTGCTGATAATCTTCATGGTTCTCCCTATGGTGATAATCTTCATGGTTCTCCCTATGGTATCGACATTAGCTTGTTCGTTTCGTCGTAAATGATCGTGAATTATTCACTGCTGGCTGGTTTGGTGTGAGAGAAAAATACTGTTCCAGCTTGGCTGATTATTGGAGGTAGGACGGTACCTTCTGCTGCACATCATGTCCTGCAGCCACTAGTGGAGTCTATCGTGCACATTCTATCGTTTGTGGTGCCGCCTCTCCTAGCAAAGGGAGCCCGCACGTTAGCCGACCATGCTGCGGATGCAGCTTGACACTGGGAGGCTTCATTCGTGGACAATTAGGAGGGTTATGCTTGACCTGTCGATATGTAATAATAAGTAAATTAAGCATCATCTATATGTTTCCTCTGTATATTTTTGTAATATAAATCTCTATTACATATCTCCATCTCTACTATATGAAGTAGGAAGTGACTCAAATGAGGTAAGAATCTCTCTCTCTCTCTCTCTCTCTCTCTCTCTCTCTCTCTCGCATTGCTACTAGTCCTATGAAAATGTCAAGACTGAGCAACACCGAGTTTGTCATCCGCAGGAGGGGTTTTTGGATCAATGTGGGGATTCTTTGAACCGTCTATATAACCCATGTGACTGGTTAGCACTGTGCTCCGGTAACACGCTCATAGAAAGAGAGGTGAGAATGAAGAGCATAGCACAAAACTCAAGAGAGACGAAGGACCGGCCCGAATCCTGATGGCCAGCGACCCTAGGGAATTAGAGATTGTGGCCGCCAACACTGTACGGGGCCGTCTTCTGTTGTTCCTCCTCTGCGTCGATGCGTTCCGCTGGCTGCGTGTATGAAGGAAATGTTGAGGAGGCTCACAATGCTGATCATCTTCATGGTTCCCCCTATGATATCCACTTCCGTGGACCCTCGACGCGGCAGTCTTCCTCCTTAACCTCATGTCCTGCAGCCAGCAAGTGGAGTCTATCATGTACATTTTGTCGTTTGTGGTGCCGCCTATCCTCTGCACATTAACCGGCCGTGTTGCAGGTGCGGCTAGACACTAAGGGTGCATCTAACGATGGGACGTTAGGGGGCTCAAGCCCCCCTACTGTTGCCGAGCATGTGGAGCCCTCCCTGAGCTCCCACGGAGTTTCCACCATGAATTTACTGTGTAGGAGGGGCTGAGCCCGTATATGAAGGCAGAAAATGACCAGAGTCATGACTTAGGCTAATCGTACCATCACTTCTATTATCTGTTGGCCGGCCTAACCTAACAAGTTCCATAGGCGCCAGACTCATATTTTCAACCACATGGGCCCACGATAGTAGAATTAGCAGTTCCTTACCTGTTTCTCGTCCCTCGACTCGGCACAGCCAGCAGCCTGTGAAACTCCCCAAACCCTACCTTGCTTTGTGCAGGCAGCGGTGACAAATCCGGATTTCATATTTGTAGGGATCATAGCGCCTAATAGAGCGAGTAAATTAGCCTTTTTTAAACTTAGGCATATTATTTACACCTAGTCAAAACCTACGCAACAAAATAATATATCTAGAAGTGCAACTAAGATTTTGCTAAGTGCGTTGCTATCTTTACCGCAAAAGAATTATGCAAGCTAGGTTCCAATCCTACCAACTACCCTATAGCAAGCTAAAGTAGAAATATAAGCACACAATCTAAGTACATAAATTAAATATGAAAACTTAAATGAGATAGAGATGCAAACTTCTATCGACGATTTTAATATTTTAACAAGGTATCAAGAAGCTCATATTTTCTCCAGTACTCGTTGTTGCCCCTAAGTTTCCAGCCAGGGTAACTCCACTGATAGCCTCCCTTCCCCACACGCGAGTGGCCTCTGACCTCCAACGTCTTCGCTGTCAGATCTTCCGGATTGTTATGTTGAAGCTAACGTAACAGTACCGTGAAACTGGCTCCGTGGGCCAGCAGATGTAGCGCAGGGCCAACAGATCATCCATGGCGTTGTACTCCATAGGCCAGCTGCTTGTGCCCAGCGCTTGCATTGGCACCTACAACCACGTGCATGCGCCACCACGTGCAGGGTAACTCCATTGAAAAAAAATGTCATTCTCGCACGTGGCATGCACCGACTTATAAATGCAAAAAAACTATAAAGTAAATCTACACTGTTTTCAAGCCAACACGTTGAGTCTTAGAAACTGGGAGATGAAACTCTCCACTGAGATTGGCTTAACTAGTTTGGCTGCTTGAGATTTAGCTGAGCATGAGTCTCATAAGGCTGTAAAGCCTGGTTGAGTATCAAAAAATCAAAGTGATGTGGATAATTCTCCGATCCGATCCAAATCCAAATTTTGAGGATATAGAGAAGAACTTTAATATCCATACGGATACGGATAATCTGAATTCGAATATATGCGATGCGGGATAGGAAAAATCCGGTAGGTATGGATTATTCACAAATTCTATTCGGATTATCCTATGTTTAAAATAGGATATTCGATTTTCTTTGTTAAGAGTCAACACTAGCGAAATGCAACACCGTTACATAGCAACACTAGCGAGTTGATTATTGGAGGCAATTTATTTACACCGTTACATACAGCACATCTTCAAATTTTTTTATCTTTATCCCAAGCTTATATACGTAAAAGTAATGATAAAAAAGATAAACTGCACAGAGAAAAAAAATCCACCAGCTATAACTCATTTGTCAATGAGCTGGGCTTTAATTGAACTGCTATTTGCATCCAGGTTAGGCACTAGTTGTAATAAAAAAAGTAAAGACTTCATCAACCGTTGAATGAAAATTGGATGGCATCGAAGTGAGGCCGTAACTTTACCAGGGCAAGTCAGAGAATCTGCGCCGCACCACTAGCCAGCACGCAGTCCGGGTTGCACGCGCCGCCTCACGCACGCCTCCGCCACCCGCCTCTGGCTCCCCGTGGCAGTCCAGGCGGCGGTCCAAGACTCAAATTTCCAAACGGAGTTGAGGAGCGTCACAGAATGCTACTACATCTACATGTGAGTTCATTATTTCAGTGGGTATTTGCCAAG